GAAATTTTCAGGGAATATGCCCAATTTAGTTTTAGGAAAAGTCAGAAAATTTCAGCATCGTAGCTTCAGCGGTTTCGGAGATATTCCCGAAAAACCTGAGGGGTGGATGAAAACAACCCCCCCTGCCACTAAAGGGTTAAAGATATATCGAAAAGTCGGGAGGGGGGCAAAAAAATAGCCCCCCCCCACCAGGGCGCGGGTTAAAACATGCACGGAACGAAAGGCTTTTTCCACGGGATATGTTGGTAATTTCTAGAGCATGTAAGCAAAATATCTACCTATATACATCATAGGCCTACCACATTTGTGGTATTACAACTTACAAGCGAAAATCCTTGTTGTTGGTTTTTGTCGTTTAATGCAATTATTTAACGAGCTAAAGTAATTCATTTGTTTTCGTTTATAAAGTTGTGGCTCATTTAGTGACCTGAAGCCTAAGCAAAGATCCCAATTAGGTACCTATCCGTTAACGATTGCATTGCCCGATAACCTGACCGGTCACAAATAAAGATATTCCATCCATTCCCAGAGAGGTGCAGTGACCTATGTACACCGTTGACTGACCCGCCTCCAAAAGATGAACGGAAGAGGGAGCGACGCAGATCATTTCTCTTGTACAGCCCACCGCTAAAGTAATGTGTGGTTTTACCAATCTCAACGGATGGCTTTGACCGACGATTTTTAAATGCGGACTGATTGAAAAGAAGACGTCAATAGATAAAGTTGTAGCTGCAAGGGTGAAGATACATGTAAGCTACATTTAACATATACGGCCTTGCATTTAAAGTCTCGTTGCAGTCTGGCTGATCGTTCCTAGGCTTCAGAAGCAGAATATACCCATGACTGAAACCACACATTACTTCTGCTATGGACTGTACATATCGCAAATGGCCACCGTTCGGTGGCTTCCGTCGAAAACCCTCCTTACAGACTGGCCACCAATTATTGAAAGACCACTTCTATAACATTAACCCTATTAGTGGCAGGGGGGTTGTTTTCATCCACCCCTCAGGTTTTTTGGGAATATCTCCGAAACCGCTGAAGCTACGATGCTGAAATTTTCTGACTTTTCCTAAAACTAAATTGGGCACATTCCCTGAAAATTTCAAGTTCATAACTTTACCAGGGGCGGCTCCAGAGCACTGGGAATTGAGGGGTCCTATTCGTGAAGCGAGTCATTTGGGCGAAGATCACAATGCTGCACCAGTTTTACGAACAGTGAATGAAAGGTATCATGTGATAACATATACAAAGTTATTGTGCATCCTCTTTTGACACGTTTTTGCTATAATAGGCGGATCCAGGCGTCCAAAAAGGGGGGTTATTTTTTACCTCCCAACATAGGTGCCCTGACACCGCCTATGCATGACCAATACAATTTTAGTCGTTCTCTCATAAGAAAATTGTAACATAACAAGACCATTGCCACCCTTTTTAGAAACAGTACCAACAAAAACCTTATTTACTATACTTTTTGTGTACCCCCAATCTCAATGATCTGTATCCGCCTATGATTTTTGAAAATGCATATTTTTAGGATTCATGTGAATTCCTGGTTCATTCTCTATCGATCGGCAAAAGTTGCGTTAAGATTGGTTCAGAAACCTGGCCATGATAAACAGTCTAAAATGTATCTGCACTTTGCCCGTTTTTACCCCCCTCTACCCCCCTATTGACATTTTTTTATTTTTTTTTTAGAAATGTAGATCTCGTTGAGCGAAATCGAATGCCGTTTGAATTTTGAAAATCGGCCCGTTAGATCTCGAGATATCAAGGGGAGGGGTCGTAAACAGCCCCCCCCCCCCTGCCACTAATAGGGGTAGCCAGGAGCCTGCCACTAATAGGGTTAAACGATAACATTGAAAGCCTCGATGTCTTGACATAGCCCTATGTAAATGCGTCCATGCCTTGGCGCATTTTGTGTGGGCGCAATTCGGAATGTGTCATATGGCGGCAAGATACCTACTGATAATGCTGCACATTGCACAATAGGCATGCACCATCTTGTTTTTTGGCTCTCCATACCCGGCACATATACCATAATACGACTAAAATCACTTTTTAACCACCTTTCCTCACGAACAACAGTAACAGTTCAATAAGCAAGCAGGCTCAGGTGATAAAAAGAGACTACATTTTACAAAACCACTCCAAGTAAATGGCTTACATGGTGCTCTGAGATTCCGCGCCGGGCTGGGGGGTGTCTGAACACCCCCTTCTAACTCGGCTCCTGGGCCACGTAGCGACACACGGTAAGCGGCAGTCGAAAGAACGTTCAAAATAAGGACGAAAACACTTCAGTCATTTTTTGGGTCAGGTCAAAGGTCAGGTCACCAGAGGTCACCAAAGGTAGAATGTTGACTATTTCAACATTTTGGAAACTGCTGACGGCTATCTCGGGAACTGATAGAGCTACAGTGCCGCAGAAAAGCGCATTCGATAGCCCTTTTACAGACCTTTCTGACTAATGTCTTCAGATTTGACCTCAGGTCAACGGTTTAGCCTCCAGAGGGTAAAAACTTCAAAAATAGCCGTTTTTAACGAAAAGTGTTTCTTTCGGCAATAACTTTTGACTCAAAAGAGCCATGAGATTACTTTTGCCAGCATCGTGTTCCTCTCGTCGAGACGCGTCGAATGAACTATAATTTGACCTTGAAAGGTCAACTTAAAAATTTGACCTCAGGCCAAGGTCATGACCTGACCGGAAAGGTCATGCTGCATATCAGTCGATCGGCAACGTCGAGCCGAACACATCTAAGGCGTTTTTAGCGCTCTAGCACGCCTCTATCAGAAGTTATTAGCGAAAAACTGTTAGATTCTGTTCGTGACCTGAGATGACCTCGGGGACATAACGAAGGGTCACAGTTGCCATTTTCCGGTTCAGTGTGTCAAGTTTGCCTACATCTCGATGTTTGAGAGTGTCTAGAATAGCGTTCGTGCAAAACACTAAACAGGCGCTTTTCAATTTTCTCCCATTGACTTATAATGGAGAGGCCGCAAAATTGACCTGACCTTAGGACACCGACATCAAAATTTCGAGATTAACATTTTATAGATAATGTCACTTGGCGTCACCTGGTGCCCTGACCTAAGGTGACCTGGCCCTAGGTCTGAAATTTTTACAACATGTGCGGAAAAGATGCACGAACAGGTGTGCCGACTGCGCTCCGCGCCGCCGTTTTTGAGATATCTGCGAAAAACCGCCGGGGGTGTTCAAACACCTCCCCCCCCCCCCGGCCCAGCGCGGGTTAAGCTGGTGGTGGTAGATCGAAAAATATTGTTTTGCTGATTGTAATTAATAAATTGTTTTCTAGACACCAATTGACCCATTGGGTTCACAGAAAATGACGTGGGCGCAATTATGAGACCGGGCGCAGATTGGGCACTCTCCCCTACTTTAAAAATTTCATGACGACCCAACCAAATGACCTTCGACCCGTTTACTGTTTTCCGAGGCCATGGCAGGCCCTGGGCAGGCCGAAACCAAGATTCTTTCAGGCCGAAACAGCGATTCGGCGTTGTCAGCGCACATTACCCGTGTGTTTCCAGTCTTGTGGCTACACCACAGTTAAACCTAGGGGCGCTTCAACACATGAAATGATGTTTGTTCCATGTACCTAATTTTTGGTGGATGTCAAGATCAACGGCAAGCAACGGAACCAGCGTGTCTAGATCAATCGGTTTGTATAATTTGGTGACGTTTGAACTCTACGCTGAAAACGAATACGAATACGCTAGCTTGAAGGACATAGGTCAAGTGAAGTTCAGGTGAATTTCGTGAGTCAGGCCCAAATATGTCAACAATTTTGTAAAATTCCTCAGTTATATTTGGGTAGGGTCTGTTGTATAGCCAATTTAATTCAACTAGCCGTAGCCACAAGGTAACATTTACCATTTAGCTATATGGTATCCAGCATGCAATAATTTGTATGCGCTGACCATTCTCTATTGACTGCAATATCAGAAGAACAGTTTGATTTCTTACGGGTTTTTTTTTCAAAGTTAATATGAAAATTTGCAGTGACAACTTGAATTAATTTGTTTCATACAACATCTAATGAAATTTACAAACGAAATATGACAGCACAATGCTGAGGCCTCTTGCACCAAAATACCTAGCTAGGTAGAATCGGCAAAATACCTACCTAGTAAAACTACCTACGACGGTAACTTCTCTTGCACCATCCTACCTACCTACCTGGGTAAATTTGACAGCTCGCGTTTTTAGGATTTGTTTTGATTGGCTGTTTGGCGACGAATTATTTGTGGGCGCAAACAAATAGTAACTAAAGAAAACAATTAAATGGATATTGTTTTTATTAATATACATTTTGGTATAATGAAATCATTTTTCATTTACGTAAATACCGATAGAAGTTATTTTGACATTAAACTACTTGAACAAATAAGCTTCGTTTCCATGGCAACGAGTGAGTCTTCAACCTGGCTGTTCTGCTACGGAGGTTTATCGCCTTGGTACGGAGAAGCACCTCTGTGAAGCCATGGAGCATTAGGTCAATTATATTATTATTCACTCATAAAACATTGATTTATCTTTGTCTAAACATTTTGTAATGCCTAATTTACATAAAAGTACCCGTGGATTATCATGTATTGTGCCTATTGTTACTAATTGAATCATTTTACCTAAGGTTTTGCTAGTTATTTTGGAAGCCCGCGTTTACCGTCAAACCGTCAAAAATTCCTCCGCGAGTACTTCTTTCCGGCCTTCGGTGCAAGAGGAGAACAGCCGGTCGGATTTTAACAATTGGTAAGTTCTTAGCCGCTCGGTAGAATTTCTAGGTAAATTTTCACGGTAGCGTTTTTTGGTAGGTAGTTTGGTGCAAGAGAATCTAGGTAAAATCTGAATTTACCTAGGTAGGTAGTTTGGTGCAAGAGGCCTCTGTTTACATACACTCTTGTTACCAGGCAATATGCTGATGCTGTGCGTCATACATACTTTTGAACACAGCTCTCGTCTACTTTTCATCGTTCTCGTCGCTCTCTGCATTTTTCTCGTGTGGAGGCGGCCGTCGCATTTCAATTTGTTGAAATAGTTCATTCATTTTAAATATATTTAGTATTCAGTAATAGGAAGTAATGGACAACCGCTACATTGACTACTTTTTGATCTTGGTGTCCTGCTTTTTGCTTTTCTTTTACATCCCAATGGAATTTGGCAGCAAAAATCACGAAGGAAAGTTTCTAAGTTATATTGAAAAGTATAATAAATCCTATGAAAAAGGGAGTGATCTTTACACCAAGAAGCTGGCTGTATTTAAAGTGAGTAATACGAATAAAGTAGCATGGTTGCATTTGAATCCTGCAGCTGATTTCATCAGGGCTAAGTAGTGCCAAGGCACCTTAATGGCCCAACCCCAGTCAGTTGTAATTTGCATGATTAAAAAATGAACAGGACCTGGAGGGCTGTTTTTTAAGTTAAGATGATTATAATTCCCTTTGCAATTAAGTTGATGAAATTTTGGTATCAGTAGAGCAGACATCACAAAGGTTTTCCATCCAAGAGGCGCTATACCCAGAGGTGCTTCTTTCTAACAAAACTTAAACCAACCCTACCTAACTTTACCTAACCTAACCTACAACCTACAAACCTACAACCTAAAAACATTCAAACATACCCTACAACCTACAAACCTCCCAGTCTGCAAAATGTGGCAGGGAGCTCGACGAGATTTTCCAAATCAGAATGCTGAGACCCGGGGCAGGTCAATTGCTGCCCCTAATAATGAGAATGATCTAACGTTATATTGATGTGGGAGGTGGTGTGAAGCTGAGCATAGCATTTCTGTCCCAATTTTTTAACTTCTGCCCCAGGTTTTCCAGTTTCTGCCCCTGCATTCCTCAAACCTGCCCCGATATCTGCCCCGATCCATGATATCTGCCCCGACGAGATCTCGTCAAAACCTGCCACGTTTTGCAGACTGGCAAACCTCTAGCGCCTCTCCTTGGTTGGAAAACCTTAGTGACTAGTGTGAGGTAGGTACCTGTGCTCTACTTATGCCGAAATTGTTGCTTTGATGACTGTTAATTTGTCAGTTTTAAATCAAATTAGTAAAGCTGGTCTGAGCTAGTGAATCCTTTCCCCCATTTAATTTTGATGCATTGATACAAAATATCAATGGCTGAATATTCATAACAACCTGTAACATACCTAACTCTAGAGTAGGATGATCAGTATTTGAAATTTAGAATGAAACCTCTGGCTTCAAAAAGCCTTGTAAGCTGGTTTAAGCTACACTGATATTAGTTGTCGAACTTTCGTCCCCGTCTTGAGTTGAGATGTTAGTTGAGATAAGTGATACTAACACCTCGTCTCAAGCACCCTGAAGAATAATGGTGTAAGCTTGTATTATCAGTATGTTTCCAATTATTTTAATGCTTTGCATAAATTGTGATAGCTATAACATTCAATTTTTAAGTGTTTGTAATTATTATAACTCCTGATTCAATGTAAATTAACTTAGGTCTCAGCTTAGATCATTTTGTCTAGCTAACTATGCCCAATGATTTGCTAGTTAGTGGAGCTATGCTTCAGGAATAGAATAAGTATCTAGAATTTGCTTGTTACCTGTTGCATACCAATATATTCCAACTTTAGGCCTGTGGTTGAAAATTGGCTTGTGATCATTGTAAACATGTAGACCGTACTTCATGCCAACTAGATGTATGATTGCAGTTCCAGCCATTTGAATGCCTATTTGTTTGTGCCAGGGCAGGCCTGCTTAAGTTGTGTCCCACTCCTAACTACAGGTCAGCAGAATCTGGTACAGTGTGGCTTTAGCAGCTTAAGCACTAGAAACACATTGGCAAATTATATACGCCATTTGTCAGAAGGAATGAAGGTGAAGGTAAAATTTTATTTTAAAAATGTTTTTGCGATAAGTATGAGTTAAAGAAAATAATTTCTTGATAAATTCTTGACTTAAACTTATTTGCAGAAAAATAGCATAACAATTTTCTTCTGCACTGTACAGCCCATCTTATATTATCTTTCATCTCATTCCATGATATTTTAGTGATACTGTAATGTCCTGCTGTTTAGTGTCATTCTGCTGTCCACAATCTGCGCTCCGGTGATATTGTTGTGACGTCCGTCGTCTGACTGCCCCCAGGAGTCGCTGGACCGAGCCGAGCGGTTGAACGCGGCCGGCGCCGCAGACGCCGAGTACGGCGTCAGCCCGTTCTCGGACCTCACGCCGGAGGAGTTCCGCCGAAAACACCTGTCGGGCCGCTTTCTGGGCGGCTCGCGCGCCGGCCGACGGCCGCTGCTGGCGGCCGCTGCCCGGCCGCGCCGCCCTGGGCCGCTGCGTCTGCCGGCAGGCCTGCCCGCCCGCGTGGACTGGTCAGTGATGGGTGCGGCTCCCGCGGCCTCCGCGACCATGGAAAATGGCCGGACAGAGAGACGGCGGTCGGTGGACGGATGTTTATATATTGGACATATGTCTGTTTATTTTTACGTGCGGGAGGTCGGCTGGGCCTGCGTGGGCATGCTGCGGCGCATTCGTTGGATTTATCAGATTGATGAACGGATGGCCAGTAAATTCAACGGTAACAAACGGTGTGCCATACGGCTCTCGTCACTTGCCATGTTTGAGCTTAATTTGCTATTTTAGGATTTTTTAACGCATGCACTGTTAATCAATTTGTTTATCGATTAGTGTAGTTTTGTATAACCACTATTGACCTTCCCCAGCATTTTGGTACTTTTTTCTGAACTATCGTATTGCTGGGTTAAAACCAGCTCCATCGAACGGAACTGTATGTTTGCCGTTTCCGTCACAAAGACGGAGGAAAACTTAGCTTGTTCCATTTTTCTACACACTGCTGCATACATTTTTCCCATGTACTTATTAGAGTAGTAAGCCTACGGTATGTATCATATGTATGTTGTAATTTGGAGGTTGTGTCGAGTCACGTTTCGAGTCCTGACGGTCTTGTTTCTATGCCCAGTCGCGATGTTGTGTCTCAGTAGGTGACACTATTGACTGTATGATTGACCTTCATAATCTGCGGCAGGCGAGAGCGCGGTGTGGTGACCTCGGTGAGAAATCAGGCCGACTGCGGCGCCTGCTGGGCCTTCAGCACCGTGGAGGTGCTCGAGTCAATGAACGCGCTGCGCACCGGCAACCTGACCCGGCTCAGCGTCCAGCAGGCGAGTCCAGCACGAGAGAATTTCGATCCGAGCTTCCATGGCATACTCCTGTTGCTAGCATGTCAATTGGTGAATGATATTACTCATCATTGCGCATATGACTGAACACACTGTAAATGACACAGCGTACCTATTTGTATATTTACTGTTTGCTTTTAATGCTCGGGCACTTATTTCATTTATTTCGTATCTTGTTCATCTTGCCCCAATTTGCAATTAGCCCCTGAGACGGTCTCGCTGATGGCTCCGCTGACGTCAGCTCGCCTTTCCTCCTCGCCAGCTGATCGACTGTTCGACCAACAACCTGGGCTGCACGGGCGGCGACGTGTGCTGGGCGCTCGAGTGGATGGCGGAAAACGGCGTGGTGCCCGACAAACAGTACCCGCTGAAACTGAAGGACCAGGCCTGCGTACTGAGGAGGTGAGCCGGTCACTGGGCGCGGGTCACTTGCCCCAGGCTTCTACGAATGAACTGGTAGCTCTTGGATCAATAGCTGGACTATTTTCCATGCATTTTTCGTGTGTTTTATAATGTTATGTTTGGCGGTTTGAGTTACGTTTTGGGTGTTTGTTTGTTTGTTTTGTTGGGTTAGGCCCTTTCGGTCCAATGGGACCATTTCAGAGCCGGGAGGATGATAGGATATAGGGGGAGACATTGGTCTAGGCAGGCACCCTAGTGAGTCGCCGGGGCTGAGCCCGTCCAGAGGACAGGCCACCCAGCCCCAAGGCACTCACTGCACCCGGCTACGGGGTGCGCTCCCTCGGGAGCAGCGGTGCCGCTCCAAGGGAGCAGCCCGCATGAGATAAAGTTGCCTGTCCAGCCCGGAAGGGGTTTGCGGCGTGGAGGAGAAGGATTTCTGTATCCTTAGGATAGAAGCACGGATCGGTGTTTTGGGTGTTTGGTTAATTCAGTTTAACTGGGAATCGGGCTTCAGTATGCTTTGGACACCACTTTGACTCGTATCAGTAGGCTGCATGTGTTACGAGGGCAGCGCTTTTCAAGGAGCGCTGTGGCCCGAACGTTTGGACTTTGAATTGTGAAAAACGCCCGCCCGGCGCCGCAAAACGCAAACACCGCCAAAGGCGCAAAACGCACGCCCCAAACGCCAACGCAAACGTCGCGCCTGAGCTGCTGACGTCGGTGTGCGTTTCGGCAGCACGGCGGGCGGTGTGCGTCTCAAGTCGTACCGGTGCGCGGCCATGGTGGGCGACGAGGAGGGCATCCTGCGCCTGCTCGCCACCCAGGGACCGGTGGCCGTCGGAGCCGACGCTACCAGCTGGCAGGACTACGTCGGTAGGTACCGGGTGGGGTGCCACCAGGACTACGTTGGTAGGTACCGGGTGGGGTGCCACCGGGACTACGTTGGTAGTTACCGGGTGGGACGCCACCGGGACTACGTCGGTAGGTACTGGGTTGGATGCCACCGGGACTACGTCGGTAGGCACCGGGTGGCACGCTACCAGCTGGCAGGACTACGTCGGTACTGGTAGGTACCGGATGGGGTGCCACTACTTAGTTGACCGACTACTTCAGTTTTGGCTGAAGGGGTTCTCAAGTATCTGGAAAATTGTGCCCGGAGATGGCATTTTTCATCTCTATATAAGCATCAAGCAGCATATAATGTATTTCTTTCGTACTCTCGCTGCTATCAGATGGCATGCACCTAGGCCTTTGCCAGTCTACTGTCACTGTGTCACTCCGTCTATATCCGTTCAGGTGGGATCATTCGGTTCAACTGCGAGCGCGAGCTGAACCACGCCGTGCAGATTGTCGGCTACGACATGACGGGCGCGGTGCCGTACTACATCGTCCGCAACTCATGGGGCACAGAGTTCGGCCTGGACGGCTATCTGCACGTGGCTGTCGGCAGCGACCTCTGCGGTAAGTGCCGCTGGGCGACACCTCAGTGGCCGCTGTCTGTCGGCACGCACTGGACTAAGGTAGTGGGTCAAAGGTATAACTAGCGTCTCGTGTGAAATGTTAGAAAGGGGCTGGCCTGGATTATTATTTGGATTTTTTTTATATAAAATCTAACGATTTTATTTTTAAGTTTTCTACATATGTCTCCTAAGGACAATTTAAAGGGATTTAAGTAGTCGTCTGTTTCACTATTCTTAGTCAAATGCTTCTCTGCGGCATCGTTGCTGCTCCCAGTGGCCGCCGTCGGTCGGGCCACGGTATCGGGCCACCCTCTCTCCCTGACCTACCCAGAGGGACATGGCCAGTGACCGGCCCGTGCCGCGCCCAGGTCTGTCGGAGGAGGTGGGTTCGATCCTGGTCTGACGCCCGCGCCGTCAGACAGACTGCCTCAGCGCGCGCCGCGCCGGATGGATGAAGCCGACGCTGTACTGCAGGGCTACCGGCGCGGTGCAGCTCCTGCCACAGCGCAGTAGCGTCAGCTGAAGAGGAAGCGGCAGCCTAGGGTGATATGTAGTCTTCCAGTTGCTGTGGCGGAGCGGGATTTTATCGGGAGGAGGGCGACATTACTTGCTGCAGTTGCAATACTAATTATCATCACAGCTGATATTGTGCCAATTATAGGGCAGATTACCTAGCCTCATTCTTACAGAACTAAATAGGGTGTTTATTATGGTTGTGTATGCATTCCCTCTGTTAAAACTTTCAATGGCATTGTTTTTCGCTAGCAGTTATTTTAGGGACAAATACTGAGGTCTTTGGGCTTTCATGGTATTCCCAGTTGAGAACTGTACTCAGTGCTGTCACATTTTCTGTGTACTTATACTTATCACAACTCATCAGCAATAACAGGTACCTAATACTGATGACAGGGTCTGGGCATGTACACCTAGCGTGCAATTGAGCTACCTAGCCATTCAGAACATAGTGGTGCATAATGTAAGCCATTTGCAACTATTGTATGTTTGTAATGTGTTGAGTGGGGCATGATCAGTCTTCACTTCATCTGCGGTAATCCTTTTTGTATACACAGTCGTAGCTACCTGGTATCTGCAGCAATACTTAATCATGGGTACTGTGTCAATTATCGTCATTATGGAAGCAGTGCGATAGACGTGCAATCCTTACCGTTAACTAAGCAGTGTGTTTTGTGGCAGGGTACAAAAGCGTACACCGATTTTCACATCTACTCACCGCAACTTCCTTAAGAATTGTGAAGCCATATGCTCGTAATACTTCATGTATGTAGGTACTCTTATATGAAAGAAGCAATAATATGCTATACTTCAATTATGTCACCGATTCATTCGTTACGGGAGTTTACAGTTGTATGGCACTTAAACGGTTTGAATAACTACCGAGTTATTGAGAATGTGATCAGGTAAAGCGCTTGGCCAGAAAACGGTATGATTTGGTTGTTTTGTGTTTGGCATACAATGCACATTAGAAGGTGCGTTACGTATTTGGCGGCATGGATTTGGAACATCATTGTTTTTTAGCGTGCGCTGTTTAGCAGCAAGTCTTTTGTTACGGATAATTTCTCACTTCTCAGCTATATCCGGTGACTTAGTTGCGCTTTCCTTCACGGTGGATGATTGACAATGTAGTGCCTTTGTCATGAAAATCAAATGCTCATTTCCTCTTCTAAAACCGCCAGTCAGGACACGAACCATCGATTTATTGAACGCATGTACATACTTTCATCGACATTGTATCATTTCGCTGTTGTTTAGGGTGCCATGGTTATCGCGTCTCATACCGTGTAGCTGGTCGCTCTTGTGTGGCTGTCTCTCTGTGCCTGCCCGGCTATTGTATGCGGCCCGTCAATAGTTGAGGCTGTGAACGCTATTTGGGACCAATGCGAGCTCGCGATATAACACTACCGTAACTAGGGAGGAATCCTTATTAATAACATCGGTAGTCAAAGGACGCGGGTCCACCGGCATGGCGATCGTATCGGGGGTGATTGACATGCCGTATAAAGGCAAAACCCATTATGTTTGGGTGACCTCTGACCTGAGGTAATGGCTTCTGACCCAACATAGTGGTTTTTGCCTTTGCACGGCAATTTGCTTGTCGAGTTCTATTCGCGAGTGGTGCGTTCTGGGGCTGTATGTTGTATTTCATATGAACTCGTGGGCGGGCCATGACTGGTAGCTGTCAAATGTAATGCGATGTTAGGACTTAGGTGACATTCACATAGTTATAGGGTTGAGGACGGTCTTCCTTTTTATACTGGTATGTTACGCGTTCCTAATTTTGGTGGGATACGTCGTGTGTTGTCTTCTATCGGGAACGGGGTTTACCAATAAACCTCTCTTTTGTCAGCAACTTTGTGATGCTCGTGCCTTCCCATAACCTTGTCTCATACGTATCGTGTATCGCAATACATATCAGCAATCCCTTCGCCATGCTCTTTGTGCGTACTTAGCCTAGTTGATTGGATGTGCTCAGAATTATTTCGTGGTACGTCTGGCTTGGTATCACCGCTCAGTGCTACTCCTTGCATTTGCGATTTTTACAGGGATAGAATAAAGTACAAACTGGGCCATACTTACATATACATTGTATATCATTATCAGGACGGCTAGGCTGAGGTTACCGACTTGGCTCCTCTCCCGATCTGATGATATGATAGCAACATTTGAAAGTTGGTGGCCCCAAGGTTCGTTTACGTCTTGGTGGCCCCAGCCGGGACTGAAGTTTAGAGAAAACCGCCAAAAGTGGAGGGGTCACCACGATTTTCGGGGGAGGGGTCATTCCCAATTCCATGCACTGCCATATATTTAATTTTTGAAATGGGATATGTTTCGCCTTCGGAGATGGGCGGGACGGGCGGGACTTCTCTTGTGGGCCTCAGCGAAATTTTTTGGTCTCGGGTGCCGTTTTTACGGATATGGCAGCGACTCAGATGTTTCCGTATTACAAATTTGTCTACGTTTATGGCGCAGCAGTTTCGAAAGTGGAGGCAGAGTTTTTGGCTTTCCGACCAATTTCCGACATTGTGCTTTCCGATAAATACTGCCTTTTGATTGTCCCCTCGATTGAGTATTTCAATTTACTTTTTAGGGCCTTGATTTATTGGATATTATTTCAATTTTTACTTTGAAGGCTGGCGATTACTAGCGGAATTTATGGCTCTTGCGTCCTAGCACTGGAAAGGTGATATTTTTCCTCCCACCTTTGACAGAAAAGGTGAGTAATTGGTCTAACAGTCGGGGAAACCGGGGAAACTACGAGGCGAAGATCCAAAAATGCATCAGTCAGTAAATAGACCTTTGATGACCATATATGGACATAATTGCAGCTGTCGCTACTAAGGGTGGAAACGGTATAACAAGCCGGTAGGTACTTGCGGTATCACGTCCACTTATCCCAGAGAAAAAGCTTCCATTTTCCACTAGGAATCAACACGATTTGATCAAATTCAGCGAATTCATTCAATAATGGTGATAGAAAAATGGCTTTTCTGCAGGTTCCGAGCATCACAATCAGCTGGCCATTCCATAAATTGATCGGTATTTTGAAAGAAAATTGCTAAAAAGAAATAAAGATATTTAAATTTAAAAAATTATTTAACCACAATTGGAAAAACCATACCTATACAAAATAATAGAAATAATGAAATTTTAAAACAATGGTGCTGCTTACATTTTTTGGCACGTCTGTTTCAATCCGCCATATTTGCCAATCACTGTTTGACCTTGTATGGTAACTGCGATTTAGAGCCACCAGTGCATCGTTCACTGAGTGGGTGTAGGCCTTGTGTGGTTAAAAAACATTCTTATGCCTTATTTTTTCATTTCAATGCTAGGATGCACGGAAAAGATGAAGTTTTCTGATTTTATGACTGTATATGGTCATCTCCCCGCCCACTCCAGCTATTGATTGGCTGATCCGATTTTAGTTTGGCGCCTGGTAGTTTCCCCAACTGATAGTGGCGGAAGAGACTAGGGTTAAAGAAGGCCTCCAGACGAACGACGGTGAAAACAGGGCGCCTGGGGCGATTTGATCAAGGCTCTTGAAATTCAATCGCATAAACCACGTGACATTCAGCATGTAGCAGTAGAAGGCAATGAGAGGGGGAGAAACTCATAATAGCCACGTGACTCAATATGCCCTCCGGTGCCCTGTTTTCACCGGCGTCCCACCGGCGTGGAATAATGCCTTATGTAGGAAATAGGCTTAGATTATAAGCATGCTGTAATTGGTGCCTGTTTGAAAGTAGGTAAGTCAATTGTAAACCATGTCACACAATCAATAGTAAGTCCTTGAATTAGTTAGTCGAGTTTGTCATGTGCATGCAAATTTCTGAAATGTTCGGAAATAGTTTATTTCTCATTGATTATCAATTTCTGTCCTTCACTTTTCAGCTGAAAATGGCCGGACAGCCGCCGCCGTCGGGAAATTTCCCGCTTCCATCGGGGATTCCTCTGCCGCCGTTCTCCATGCCGCCGCCGGGCATGCCCCCACCGGGGTTCCCTCCGTTCATGCGGCCGCCGCCTGTGCTGCCCGCGGGAGGTGTCGCGGCGACCGCGTCCCCCGGCGGAGCTGCCACCCCGCCCGCCGCACCTCCCCCGACCGGCGCCTCCGGACCGGCGCTACCGGCCAAGGCGGACGCGCCCAAGACGTCTTGGACTGAACACCGCGCGCCCGACGGTCGCACCTACTACTACAACTCTGTCACCAAGCAGAGCGCCTGGGAAAAGCCGGAGGAGATGAAGACGCCGACCGAGCTGCTGCTGGCCAAGTGTCCCTGGCGGGAGTACACCTCGGACAGCGGGAAGCCATACTACAGCAACGTGGTCACCAAGGAGTCGCGCTGGACAATCCCTCCGGAGCTGGAGGAGCTGAAGGCGCGCATCGCCGCTCAGGAGGCGGCGGCCTCGAGTGCGTCTGACGCTGCTGCTCCTGCTGGCGGCGGTGGCGACACCAAGAAGTCGGCTCTGGAGGCGGCGATGGCGGCCACGCTGGCAGCCATGGACATCCCGGCCCCTCCAGCAGCTGCGGCTGAGACCAGCGAGTCGCCGGCAGAGGCCGCCTCGCGAAGCACAAGCGGCACTCCTGAGCCGCGCCGCGTGTTCAAAGACAAGCGGGAGGCGATCGAAGCGTTCAAGGATCTTCTGCGGGAGAAGGGTGTACCCAGCACAGCCTCCTGGGACCAGGCGCTGAAGCTTATTCAGGGTGATAGCCGGTACGAGACCCTGCAGCGACTGAACGAGAAGAAGCAGGCGTTCAACGCGTACAAGACACAGCGCGGCAAGGAGGAGAAGGAGGAGCAGCGGCTGCGCGCCAAGAAGGCCAAGGAGGACCTGGAGGAGTTCCTCCTGAGCGGCGACCGTATCACCTCCATGACCAAGTACTACAAGTGCGAGGAGATGTTCGTCGACATGGACATCTGGAAAAACGTGCCGGACCACGAGCGGAGGGACATCTACGAGGATGTCGTCTTCACGCTGGCCAAGCGCGAGAAGGAAGAAATGAAACAGATGCGTAAGCGGAACATGAAGGTGCTGTCGGAGATCCTCGACTCGATGGCGGACATCACACACCTGACGACGTGGCAGGAGGCGCAGCAGATGCTGCTGGACAACCCGCGATTCGCCGAGGACACGGACCTGCTGGGCATGGACAAGGAGGACGCGCTGATTGTGTACGAGGACCACGTGCGCCAGCTGGAGGCCGACGAGCAGGAGGAAAAGGAGGCCGAGAAACGGCGCAAGTCGCGCCTGGAGCGCAAGAATCGTGACGCGTTCGCCGCCCTGCTGGACGAGCTGCACGACCAGGGCAAGCTGACGTCCATGTCGCTGTGGGTGGAGCTGTACCCGGTCATCAGCTCCGACGTGCGGTTCTCCGCCATGCTGGGACAGTCGGGATCCACGCCACTCGACCTCTTCAAGTTCTATGTGGAGGATCTCAAATCGCGCTTCCACGATGAAAAGAAGATCATCAAAGAGATTCTGAAAGAAAAGGACTTCGAAGTTCAGGTAAGTTTGTAATTATTCAATTAGTTTTTAGATTATATGAACACAAACACAGGCAGTCAAAATCGTAACTGGATTTCTCTTCGCATTGAGAAGGTTTGAAATTGAGAATAAGTGACTCAACATTTTGAAGTGCTTACAAATTTGCTGCCATTATTTATATGCCTAATCCATCAGTATTATGACGCTCGTTTTATCTTACTGCTCAACCTAAGCTCACCGTTTTTTGTTAACCAGGGTCGTTCCATAGAAAGCGTTTTTGCAAGAAATATTAACATCCACGTGTCCGTCAGGTGACGACCACATTCGAGGAGTTCGCCACGGTGGTCTGCGAGGACAAGCGATCGGGAACGCTGGACGCAGGCAACGTCAAGCTCACATACAACTCGCTGCTCGAGAAGGCGGAGGCTCGCGAGCGGGAGAAAATCAAAGAAGAGAACCGTAAACTGAAGCGGCTTGAGTCGGCGTTCAAGAGCATGCTGCGCTCCCTGGAGGTGGAGCACGGCGCGGTCTGGGACGACGTGC